TCCAGCGCGCCACCAGGCCGGCCCCAGGATATCATTTCTTAATGTCAGTAATACATTAAGATGGTGCAGCAGACTAAAGTTACACTGATAACAAGACATTCTGGAAGCTACATTATTTGGATTTTTCTGTTTTTGTTTTTCATCATATTCAGGGAAAACTGTTATATTTCTATTTGTGAATTAGTTTTCAAAATGGAGCGGGAAAAAAAATTCCATTTCATTCCTTATTCTACAAGTATTTATTGCCCTCCTGTGTGCCAGGCACTATATATTAGGTTCTGAATTCTTGTTACCCATGATCTTGCAGTCTACCATGAAAGACAGATGCACCTTTCCAGTAACTAAAGTATTATATTTTTCCCTAAATACTGTTAATCTTTTATCCATGCAGTAAAACTTTATATGGAAAAGAAAAATATGGGCAGTGTTGGCTTGAATCTTGTATTTCTTCCTCCTCTGTACTCTTATAAATTCGTTCTGGGCTTATCCAGCTTTGCAAAAAGGTATAGTCATGCATTGCCTTAATAATGGGGATACCTTCAGAGAAATATGTCATTAGGCAATGTCACTGCTGTGCGAACATCATAGAATGCACTTACCCAAACCTAGGTGGTGTATAGCCTACTACATACCTAGGCTGTATGGTGTAGCCTATTGATCCTAGCTACAAACCTGTACAGCATGTTGCTGTACTGAATACTGTAGGCCACTGGCCATTGTAACACCATACTAAGTATTTGGGTATCTAAACATATCTTTTTTTTTTTTTTTTTGGCAGCTGGCTGGTAAGGGGATCTGAACCCTTGACCTTGGTGTTGTAACACCACGCTCTAACCAACTGACTGAGCTAACTGGCCAGCCCAAAACATATCTAAACATAGAAAAGTTACAGTAAAAATATGCTATAAAAGATAAAAAATGGTGCACCTGTATAGGGCACTGGCCATGAATGGAGCTTGCAGGACTGGGAAGCTGCTCTGGGTGAGTCAGTGAGTAAGTGATGAGTGAATGTGAAGGCCAAGGACACTACTGTGCACTGCTGTAGACTCTATAACCACTGTACACTTAGAATACACTAAATTTATTTTTAAAAAAACAAAAAAGTAATTGCACTACATCACTAGGCGATAGGAATTTTTCAGCTCCATTGTCATCTTATGGGACCACCATCATATGTGTCATATACCATTGACCTAAACGTTACTGTGTGGTACATGTCTGCTTAGCTAGTCATTGTTGGTGAGTAGTTAACAGAGAATGTTGTCTTTGTTTGTTTTGGCTTTCAAGGCCTGTTGGATTCTGAAATTACCTTTTATTTTCTTGGCGGCTGGTGGGTGCAGGGATCAAACCCCAGGACCTTGGTTTTACCAGCACCACACTTTAACCATCTGTGCTAACCACCCAGCCCCCTCTGAAATTATCTTAACTGGTCTCATGGTTAAACTCATGCAGAGTTTCTTTTTTTTTTCCCGACCAGTAAGGGGATCATAACCCTGGGCTTGGTGTCGTCCACACCACGTTCAGCCAGTGAGTGCACCAGCCATCCCTATATAGGATCCGAACCCGCAGCTTCGGCGCTCCCAGCGCCACACTCACCTGAGTGAGGCATGGGGCCAGCCCCCATGCAGTTTCTTAAAACTGGAATTTAAGAACCTGGGAAGAAAAATCAGGTCTCTCAAACTACTGGGTACAGTAAGTAGCCACAAACTGTGGGTTTTCTGAACTAAGACTTATGACTTCCTGTACCTTTTGGAGCCCTTACTTTGCCGTTTCACCTCCTACTACCCTCTAATTTTTATCATTGTGGAGATATCAAGAGAGAAATTAACTGGGAAGGAATTTTTTGTTTGTCAGATTGCTGAATTAAACAAAGCAATGTAAAGATGTATTTTGTGTCCTGTCCATAAATCATGTTTAGCAGAATATTAGATTTGTGTGCCTTATATGCCAATACGAATGTATGATGGGCTTACCATTGTCATTATAATAAATATTTTTATTTTGGTTTTATGTTTTACTGTATACTGATTAAAACCTAATTTGCTGTTTAATCACAGTTTTAAATGCAAATGCTGATTTTTTCATGTGACTAACTTTGTAACATGAAATATTTTTAAAACCAAATTGTGTTTAGCTTTCTTTTCTCTCGAAGTTCTTAAAATGCTTGTACAGAAGGAATTAGATTAGCGAAACATCTTGAAAAGTAATTTCAAAAATAGCCAGAGAGAGGAATAGATGCCTGGGGAATATTGCTGAGGTAGGGTATATGAATAAAAAGAAACAAATTTCTAACGTAATAAAACAGTTCCGCTCATGTGCTACATAACAATGTTTTGGTTGACAGACCACATATATGGTGGTGGTCCCTTAAGATTACAATAGGGCTGAAAAACAGCCATCCTAATGTAGTGCAATGTTTAGATATGTTTAGATACACACATACCATTGTATTACAGTTGCCTACAGTATTCAGTAACACGGTGTGCAGGAGCAATAGGCTATACAGTACAGCCTGGATGTGTAGCAGGCTATGCCATCTAGGTTTGTGTAAGTGCACTCTATGATGTTCACATAACAATGAAACAAAGCATGATTGTATTTCTGGAAGAGATTCTCCAGCTCTTCAGCTTTCCAGTCTTTTCTCTGGTACTTAAACTTGTCTGAGAATAACACTTTTCATGTCAGTCTTACAGATGAGGCTTACTATGTAAATGTTGTAGGTACTAGGTTCTAAATATACTCAAACCTTTCTTGAAAGTTGATTTAGGAAGTGTACAGAAGAAATGGGGGTGCTGAGGAGGAAGAGGTGGGACTGGAGGCAGGTGTGGGGCAGGCTACCCATGAGATGATGGATAGATAGGGAATGGGAGAAACCAAAAGGAGAAGTAGGAAAATTAGAAAATTGTACCAGTGTAATAGTTATGCTCTGCTGCTATGTCACTTATAACCAGAGAAACGTTGAAAGAGAAGGAGAGAAATGGAAAAAAGATAAAGAGAAAAATAATGTCATTCTTTCAGGTGTGAAAAGAAAATCTTGAGGGCTTTTCTTCTATTTTTCCCTGACTTTTAAGTCTTCCTACCTCTCTACTGAAAGTGTGGAATTGACTTCACCCTGGAGCAAAACAGCATAGGATTGGATAGAAAGGGCTGGAGCTGAGGGAGTCAAGTCTGCCACTTGTTTTAATCTCATGAGTCACCTTTCCCTCTTCTCTTTCACAGTTATGAGATAATAGTCATTATTTAGTAATATTACTTGAGTTACCATAAATGGAATCCTAATTAGAAGTTATCTCAATAAAATTATTTGTCAATTAAAAATAAGTTTTTAGAAGTTACCTCAATTTCTAATTGCATAAATGTAACTTTTAGTGTTTGAAAGGTAGGGAAAATGATTTTAGGTAACCACTAAAAATGTTTTATTAAGTTCTCAGTTTTGAAACTTTTTTGGAAAAGTTTTTTTAATTGCATGTATCTGGTACTTTTTCTAATACACGTAGACATGGATTTATTTTTGCTGCCTCTGTTAGGATTTTATCAAGCAGGGGAAGACATTGTCAAAAACAAAAATAAAACCAAGTTTCTAGACCTACATTCCAACTTTTGGAAGTCCTCTCTCCCATATTAAGTATTTAACAAACATCTGTTAGGTACAAAGCACTCTCCTAGTTGCAGAGAAGAATGTGAAATTGCAAAACAGAGAAGTTGCCTTCAGAGAGATTTGGTTCATTGTGTAAACATGGCATCCTCCAGGTATATTGTAATTCAGTGTTTAAGAAAGTGATGAGAAATAAAAACAAAAAAACACAAAAAAAAACCTGTCACAGAACACAAGGCTGAAAACAATTTCAGGGACTCAGCAAGTCTGTCCTCCTGGCTTCATACACAAATCATGCCATTTGTTGGAAACCCATTCTGATTTAGATTCTGAGCAGAAATTCCAGTGAATTATTCCAGTGTTAACACCTTTACTCTCAGGAAATACGCTGTTTTTTGGTATACGTAAATACCTGCTGCAGTTTAGCAATTCAACTATAATTTTCAAGGGAGTGCCATTTTCAAATACAATTTAACGGAAATTAATTAGATATGCAACTACTGCCAATGTCATTTTTGCTTTAAATATTTAGTTGCAAATATCTTGAAATATTTTTGCATGATTTTTTTTTTTTTTTTTTAAAGATGACCGGTAAGGGGATCTTAACCCTTGGCTTGGTGTTGTCAGCACCACGCTCAGCCAGTGAGCAAACCGGCCATCCCTATATAGGATCCGAACCCGGTTAACACCTTTACTCTCAGGAAATACGCTGTTTTTTGGTATACGTAAATACCTGCTGCAGTTTAGCAATTCAACTATAATTTTCAAGGGAGTGCCATTTTCAAATACAATTTAACGGAAATTAATTAGATATGCAACTACTGCCAATGTCATTTTTGCTTTAAATATTTAGTTGCAAATATCTTGAAATATTTTTGCATGATTTTTTTTTTTTTTTTTAAAGATGACCGGTAAGGGGATCTTAACCCTTGGCTTGGTGTTGTCAGCACCACGCTCAGCCAGTGAGTGAACCGGCCATCCCTATATGGGATCCGAACCCGGGGCCTTGGTGTTATCAGCACCGCACTCTCCCGAGTGAGCCACGGGCCAGCCCTTTTTGCATGATTTTTTAACAACAGGACAATAAACCAAATGCTGTGCAGTGCTTTGCTCTTCTCATAATAGCATTTTGGTGGTTATGTGCAGATGCACGTGTTTTGCAATTTTAACAGCTTTCTACTAAACAACATTTTTTAGTGGGCTTAATACTTCATTTCCTAAATAAAATATCCAGTTTATTAGTTACCATAAAGGCTTTTAAACTGAACCAAGAACAAAATGATCATGTAGGACAAATCTTCGTGTTAAACCACTTTGCCAAGATTTGATCTTTTGTGGAGAAGTTTTGCTAATCATTAACTGGACTAATTGCAGTCAAGACCTGATGTTCCCCTGGAATATTATTTTAGTTAGTCAAAGATAAGGGCAGGGAAGAATGGGAGTTTCTTTTTCTGTTAGTTCTCTAGGCTTAAAGAAAAGGTAGTTATTCTTTTACTTTTCTAATATTTTCTGTTACTCTTGTAATTCATAGGGATATCTGTGTTTGCCTTACATGGCATTGCAGCAGCATCATCTTCTCTCTGATGTCGCCATTCGGGGATTTGTTGCTGGAGCTACTAACATCCTTTTTCGACAACAGAAACACCTCAGTGATGCCATTGTGGAAGTATGTTTATGTAGGAGTGTGTGTACTTGACCCTGGTAGCCCCTTTTTGCTTTTCTTAAATGTAATCAGGATATATTAACAATACTAGTAATGATAATAATTCCTACTGTATGCCAGGGGTTTAGAGTGCTTCATGTAAACTGGTCTAATTCTCATAATCCTTTGAGATAATGCTATTCGCATTTTACACCTGGAAAAGCTAAGAAACAGAGAGATTAAGTGACTTGCACGGTATCAAACTTGTAAATGGATGAGCTGGAATTCTAATATGGGCAATCTGGGCCTAACACAATCTCACAATTTATTAAAATCTGCTTATTGTTTAAATAATTTAAATCCTTCTAGCTGTTTAATGTGATCCTGATATTAAGAAGAAGGAAGTTAGGAATAAATATTTGACATTTTATCAGTATATAAGAAATTTAAATCATTTGTTTAATTTTACAACTGAAGCAATTTTTAAAAAAAGAATGAATGAAATTCGAGCCACAATAAGGTTTTTTAGTTTCTGACAGAAAGGACCAAAACATGCTTCTTCGGAAAATGGTTATAATATATAAATGAAAAATCCAGGATTCAAAGCTATATTTATTATGATCCCAGTTTTGAAGGAGAAAACAATATATACACCTTCTAAGATAGGAGGATGTGGATGAGAGGACCACAGAGTTGCTTCAACATTGTTGGTTACATTCTAGTTTTGAAGTTGGTTGGTGGGTTCATGGGTATTTGTTTTATTATTATACTTCAGAATTAACTTGTAAGTTACATATATTTCTTTGTATATCAAATATTATGTAATAAAAATATTTAAAGTATCTGTGCACTCAGAAGATTTTAAAGAATTATACTTGTTATGTTCATTTCTGGTGCTAAGATAATGGTGATTTTTACTGTACATGTATTTCTGTATTTTTCAGAATATTTACAATCTACATGAATTTTATGATTTGAAATTATAATTTATGCATATATATTCTAAAAACAAAAAATTAATACTTTCTTAATATAGAAAAAGAAAAAATCTTCAGTGTAAAGAAACCTGTCTCTTTCTTAGACTCACCTTTTTTTTTTTTTTTTTTTTTTTTTTTTTTTTTTTTTTTTTTTTTTTT